GGAGAGATCATGGTCATCTTGCGAACCTCCGCGGAGCCCGGGCTGCAGGACTTCACTAGCACTTCGCTGGTGCTGCAAGTCTTGCTGCTGCTGTTGCGAGAGCTGGTTGGGAGCAGGCCTGGCGGTCCACGATGTCCTTGGGCAGATCGAACTCCTCGCAGATGCGACGTGCAGTCGGAGACAGCATTGCACAGCCTTTGAAGCAAAGCTTCAGGACTTGCTTGGCGCGTCAGCAGCTCCCACAGCGGCAAACTGCACAGTAAGGCTGCGCAAGGCTCCTTCCTACCCACTTCGGAAGCCATTCCTGCAGAGTGTAAATCTGCGAGCCTTGGGCCTTGCTCGGCGTTCCGATGAGTGTTCAGCCAGAACCAGGCGGCTCAGGGTGTCATGACAAGGAGCGGACGATTCGCATTTATGACACCTTACGGCCCGTTTTGCGTCCTCGATCATGCACAGAGGGATGGCTCCGCCACAGGGCTTGCAGTTGTCCAGCTTCCTCTCAATGAGGTAAGTCTCGATGCCCTCCTGGAGCACACGTCAAGATTCAGGGCGAGAGACAGAGACAGAGAAAGAGAGATACAGAGACAAAGTTGGAGCGGAGGGACACGTCTCTCTATGAGAGCTGTACTGAACATCTGCGGCCATTGTGCCCTGGTGTGCCTGGGCCAAGGCATCCGCTGTGCTGGCGCCCGCCGGGCCACCGCCGATGACGGCCACACGCAGCTTGCGTCCCTCCTCGGATTGCTTACAGGGTCTCCGCTAGGGTCCTCTAAGTTGTCACCTGGAAACGCTCAATACCCGCATAGCAAAGCAGCGACTGCCTGTCCCTTCGAGACCACAGCACTGCACAGCAGTTACTCCGGACTCCGGCAGCACTCTGGACTATTAATGATATCTTGGATGCTCGGCTCGGTCCAGATAATGTCTACCACTACCACAACAACGATGAAGCCTCATGCTACCGCTCTTGTACTTCATACTACCTGTAACTGGCTGAAGCTGAGCCTCTGGAAGCATAGCGCCTGCGCACACAACAACCTTCGCATCTGCAAGAGACCGCGGCTGCGAGAGCTTGGTCACGGTAGCTGCACCTGCACAGACGCTGGAAGGCTTTGCGGGTTGCGGCTGCTGGCTGCAAGAAGCAGTGTGGGCACGTGTGACTGTTGGCTTCGGATGGCTTCGATGTCGCCTGCAAGCGCAGACCGGTGCTTACGCCGGGTGCCCGCGGCCACGGCGGCACCCAC